GCGAAAAGGCCACCAATGTATTTAAGGGAATATGTTCAACATTTGTCTTTATGAACTATCTAGAGGGAAGGGGTGTAATGTATTGGTGTGAATTATTTAGAAATGTTGAAAAAACAGTCATAGGACTCTGTCAGTTAAGTGTCAAACTTTCTGTCTACATGCTCATTAATGTGTGTTAAAAGCGGAAACTAATACTTGAATCCTATTGGCCACCGCCTAGTTGCTGAGTGTATAAATAGGGGTGGAGCGGCAGTTATCCAGGCTTCTGTTTAAACCTTAAATAAAGAGTTGTTATTGCACCTGCTGCCTCTTCAATGTCTCACCGATCATCGAACATAACAGAAACTCTTTTTGTTAAGCAGCTATTTTCATCCAAGCTCTCGTTCAGCATTACACTTGGTAAACAAAACTTAAATTCCAACTATGTAGAATTCTGATGCAAAAATTACCCTGGATGTCATGTTAAAGCTCCTGTTAAAATCATATCTGCGACAGTGATCTGTTTTGCCCTAGGAAGAAGATAGGGATTTTAAGAGAAAGATATGTAAAACTGTAATATCTATACATTTTAAATTAGGTGCCCCATTAGACTCAGCCAATGACAAGAATTGTGCTTTAGGACAATGAGAGGGAAACCCCTATGTACGGTGGGAACATAAAAGGTAAAGGTCAGTATCTGTAGCCGATGAGCCCTCATGCCCCCTTATGTCAAATAGAGTGGCCCATAACTGAACTTCTAAAAAGCAAATTGGTATTTTTGGATAATCCATGCCGCTTGTTTGCTGAGGGGTAATATACATGCTTATGCTTGAATCTTAATCTCCTGAACTATTTACTATTCCTTTCCCTGCCCCAAAGTAAGAATATTGACCCTGTTCATTAAATACCATTCCTATGTTTGTTGTGGCTGAAAACATTTTTTTAAGAAACCCCCTTGTCACACTCAGCTACTTTCAGTCTTACAAAGTAGTCCAAACAAGAAGCATGCCCAGATGAACTAATTCTACTTTATGTTAAGGCTACATTAGCAAAATCGTGCAAGTCTGAAAGTATTTTTCTCCCCCCATTTGCCTTTACAATCCAAGAAATTAGGAAAGGTCTGAGACATTTATCACATCCACATTCCTTCTATGAACTAAACTAGCTCTTGTCTGACCTAGCTCAAGCTCTGCACACTGGCATTCCCACATTCTATTACAGCTGCACAAAATATTGTTTTCCCTGAATTACTAGTGAAGCTTATGATTTCCAAAGTCCTTGCAATCAGCCTTACCAGGTAGACCAGATAGGAAACACCACTAGATAAGCTAATTCTACTTTAATTAGCAACATTAGCAGAATCTTGTAAGTCTGAAAACACAATTCTCCTGCTAGTTCCTGTACCCCTAAGAACAGTGAGGGTCTTTTCTGAGCTTCTTGCCCATTATCTAGCTGCAGACTGTGTTTTCCATAATTCCCTAGGCAGCATCTCTGGGCCCAGTTTTCTAAGGTCATTCCCCCATACTTTTACATTTGTCTTGGAGAATCACTGTCCAGCATTGTAGACCCGTCCCCATGATGCTACCTTGATCTCATACCCAGCTTTTAAATGAGGCAATCCTATGTCACTGACCTAGGCTATGTCCTTCATTCTTAAAGCAATAGTTTTCTCTTCATTGTGATACCATCCAAAGGTAGTCTCATAATGTCCAAAATCTGTAAACCTATTATCTTGGAGGCATATGAAGTACCCCACAATAAGCAATAAAGACAGGAGAGGGACCAGCAATCAGGAAAGCTAATTTAATGTTTGTATTAAATTAAGATACAAAGGATGAGCGGAGTGCACAATAACTCAGTAACAGCAAAGGCCTTTTGCCAGCCATATTCCATTCTTTATGGATTTTCCCAGATAAAATGTGAACTGTCCTTTTAGCAAAAGAAAACTCTGTTCATCAAATGCTGCCCTGCCAAGAAATAAATGTTGGTAAGAATGCTAATGACCACCCTTCAACCAGGGTGTTGTATACCGAATTTTAGCAGACAGCTGATCACAAAGCTGATTAGAGATGTATAAACTTATTTTAAACTTAGAGAGACACACAGACTTTCGATTAGCTTTTCAAAGAAGGTTATTCTCTAAACTAAACTTGACTCAATCCAAAATATAATTAGCCACAGCATGTTATCCTGAACTTCAAAGCTAGAAGAGGATAGAAAATGGAAATGGATCCTGTCTGCTGCTGTGATGTTCTATATTACAAGTTGTGGTTTCCCCTTCCAGGATGAATTGTTTAAAAAAAGTGGTAGGCAAGTGAAATGGATTTAAAGTGATGTGCAGAAAAAGTAGGGTATGAAAATTTCATAGATGTACCGTGTTTATTTATGATTTTTTTCCCCCAGGGAAAGCAAAAGCTAATCTACCTTTATAAGAAACAATTTAGCGTTGTGATAGTTTAGGATCCAAAGATGTTCTGAGGTTTAATTTCTGTCTAGCATGGATTCTTTCATAGTGAGTCTAGTTAACTGATTTGATATGGATATCAGGGAAAGCTTTCTTCCTAGGAGGGCAGGGAATACTCATTAGCTTACATTTACTTTTTACTCTGTAAAAAGATCCTATAATTATTTTTTCAGAGTGATTTTATCAGTAACGATTCTTTCTCTCTCACTCGGTTTCTTTGTCCCATCATCTCCACACACAAAACATAATCCATTCCTTGTTTTGTGATTTCATGTACTCCTACATAAGTTGCCTTGCTTGTCATTCCCAATTGAACAGATTTGGCATTGGTGCCTATGAATCTCTTTCCTGCTTAGAGTTTAGACTGAGGCAGCTGTGTCAGATCTTGCTAAACCATGTATAAAGTCAATATTTTGGACTTTGACAGAAATTATTAATAATTTTTGATCAGTATGATATGGAAATGAAGGAACGTGTTGCCAGCATTATTGAACACTGATTCAATATCAGCATATATTAGAGTACATTAAATTGGTGGTGAAGAATTCTGTTGTTCAAGAACGTCATAAATTTCTCTTCAGTCTTCTGATTTGAAGAGCTTTGGTTGAATCTGATATCTTTCTTCAGATAAGTAAATATTACATTGGTAACTGGGAGTGTTTCTGGTTGCACTACTGTCATTAAAAGCACCCATTACCAGCTTACTCTCTGCTTTAGCTAGGACTTTACTTGCTTAGATACAGTTTTGCTAGTACAATCCATGCTCGGTAACTAAGATTACTATTATACATGAGACTATTTTCTTTTACTAAAAAAAATTATCGAAAGACAGCATCATTATGGGCCATGAAGAAGTGCTGGGGTACTACAATGAAAATACTAGTGTCATGGTTCCGACTAATGGAACACTTCAAAGAACCTCCAGGCATTGTTTAATCCTAAAAAGTCTTTAATCATGTAAATACAGTGTCCCCTGCACATAACATTCCAGCCTATTCCCCTCCTCTATTTTGCAGTCATAAATCACGTTCTCCAATCAGCCAAAGGGCAAAGGTTCACTTCCGGTTCTGTAGCCTGAATATTCCTTATCTTAATTACTCCCTATATACATTCTTTCTCCTCCCCTCCCAGCATCATCTTAGTTAACTCTAAAAAAAAAAACCAGACAGTTCTGCATGTTTTTTCAAAACAAGAATATCCAATATTAGCAGCGTTGACAACTAGTGGCTCACATTCAGACTCTTGTCTTTCTTTTTTGCCCCCCTTCACTGACTTTTTTATACAGTATGATTCTCTGCTGAATTATCAGAGCAAACCACAGTAGCTGGAGGAAACTTCCTCTTGTGGTTTTAATATAAAAGAAAGACGTTTCTTAAGAGATATTCTTCATACATCTCTAGAACCTAATTCTATCTGTATTGTAGCAATGTAGGAGCATAGAGCTTAGTTCAGAAGGCCTAAAACCTGGCTAGTAACTATTTCAGGCCTAGTAAGGAGGAAATGGTGCCTTTCTCCCCATCTGACTTGACTTTAGACTTTAGGCACAGTATGGAGCCCATCAACTTAAAAGTGATCCTGGGACCACAAGAAGATAGCATAGTCTCAAATAATTTAAAGAATCCAAGTCTTGCTTAGTTATACACTACTTGATAAAAGGGAAATGTATTTGTCAGATTGACTGTAATTTATGCACCCTGTTAAAAATAGTATGTGTTATGTATTGAATATATATATAAAGTTGTGTTAATCCCTGCTAAAGTGAAACTAACTTAACTCCAACTGCTTGTGAAGCTAAAATGAAACTAACCTTTAGATGACCCTGACTGTTAACTCCAACTGTTTTGGAGGGAAACTTTGAACATTCATATCTGGGCGGGCTTTTTCAAGTATTGTGATTGGCTAAGGCCCTGTGGGCTAAGAGTATAAATTACAGGCAATTGCCTGCACTTCTCTAGTTCTAGTTTGAGTCAATAAATGATGTTGTAACTATGCTGGTCTGCTCCTTGCCTACTGAAACCCAGTACACAATAGTATGGATAATTTCTTACTTCCTCAATAAATATGAAATATCAATAATTTAGAAGTCTCCTATGGCTTTAACAGATCTAAAACTTTATTCATTTGATTGTAATGTGGCTTAGAGCTGGCATTCCCTGGAACAAATTTGTTTCAGCAGATCTTCTTTTGGTAAACAAAATGTTGAAAGACACCATCGTTATGGGTCACTCGGAAACTTTAAGCCTTACTGATTTATTTGGCTGACCGTACCATTTCTTGGAGCAAATGCATTAATGAAATAATTGGGTGTGGATAGAACAGCACTTTCAAAATTATTGCTTTGATATAAATAACTCATCCATCCAAGTTGCTGGAGCTGATGTGATTCTGCTTCTCATATGGATCTGGCCATTACAGAAAAAAACAATCCACCAGATTCAAACCGGATGTTTAACATCAGCATTGCAGTTTGGTAAGCTATCAACACTGAAAGGGGAATTTTCACATTAATGAAGTAGTGAAAGCTTCACTAGCATTTGTCTTAAAACAAAAAAATTACCTAAAATCACAGGTGTCTTCTCTGGTGCCTCCTTCCATTTATTTAAAGTTATATATCTGTCCTCTGCTTCACCTCCTTGAGCTCCTCAGATAATAAGAGGGACCAGTGGGTCTGCAAGAAGAGACAGGATTCAGATTTTGGCAGCAAAGAATGATGTTTGTTAATTATTTAAATAGTTTTAAGAATTCCATCCACTGATAAAAATTTCATTTTCTTTTAACAAGTATACCAAGCCAAGGAGCTTTTTTAACTTTGTCCAAGAAAGGAGACATATCTAAATGCATCAAGCTTTTGTGTTATCAGAATTAGATGAGACAGCCATCAATTCTCTAGCTCAGATTTTGGTTGTGAAAGTATGACATCCATTTGTGACTGTAATAATGGGAGTGGGGGTCTGAAATTCTTTGCTTTTGAGATCCTGCTGTAAAATTTGCTCTTTACCTTAGGAAGAATCCTGGAGAACTTAAAAGATTGTACACTCTTTGTGGCATTTTGCAAATACTAATATAATATTTGCCAAGTATGTATTGTGGTTTATCTCCAACATACAAAATAATTCATTTACATGCAAAGATTTGATCATAATATTTTCTCACACTATTTGTTTTTGAAATTGCCCATTAATTTAAAAAGCCACTTCCTTCAAGTTTACACAAACCCAAGGCTAAATGAAGGCCATGCTACTTGCTGCACCTTTATTGTATTTCCTGCTCCTTGCTGGTAACTGAATGGAGCCCATCCTCCAAAAGATTGACATATATTTATCCTAAAAGACAGCAACAAAACATAGAGTTAGGTGTCACTCTGGAGACCTCACTATAGGGTTTTTATTTTTTCAAAATTACAGGTGGCATGGTGCTTAATTTTGGCAAATTCAGGAAATTCCGTACTTTGTAACAACTGCCTAATGTTTTATTGGTGTCGTGTCATCTGGGGCTAAAACAATCACGTGCCAGGCTTCCAGTACTGTACAATATTTCCACAGGTGTATTCAGCCTGACATTTCTCTGACTGAGAAACATTTGTCAAACCCAGTGCTGATATTTTCTATTTATAGAGTCACATAAGCATGTGCGCTTTGAAAAATGAGGATTTTCATTGTGATATAAAACTGAAATAGTGCTGGCACAGGAATTCTGTCATGATTTACTGCCACCAAATGTGACCCCATGCTAAGTCAGTTGGATCAGCATGTATCTAATGCCTGCCAATGGTTGCTGTGCACTGTAGATGTGCACCACATGTTGGAAAATTAACAGCCTGGCTTTGGATCAGCAGATGGAAAGAGTAAAATATCACCCTTAGTGCCCTGCATGGATTTGTGCCCAGTGAATTAAGTGCTTCTAAGGAATCACATTATTTGATTATTTATTTATCATATTTAGACATTACCCACCTCACTATCCAACTGACTCTGGGCGGCTTACAGATACAAACAATAAAATATATAAAAGGCATATAATTAAAAACAAGAGTGAAGAATAGAATAAGGACAAGGTTAAAAAGGCAGAGGGAGTACCCTTCAGCCAACTGCAGGGTTGTCTGCCATTCTTCAAGCCTTTTGTAAGGGCTATCACATCCAGTGAGATATACAACAGTTGCCTTTCAAAAAAAACTCTCCTGAAGGTGCTTTTTGACTATTTTCCCATTCAAACACTGCCAGTTCTGTGTGTATATAAGCAACTGGGTCTCTGCAGGAGAAACAAAATCAAATGCCTCATAAAATGATTAGTGCCGCTTCTATAGCATTTGAGGAATTTAAGTTGCAATACACAAGCACAGTAGCACTCCCCAATTCATGAGAGGTCTTGCAAATGTTTGAGACCCTGGTTTGTGCTTAATTAGGGATCATTCCTTTGAAAATATTTTGTGGCTTTGAGTTCAGGCTTTTGCAACTTGCAATCGATCAAGCCAATTATAACCACTAGCCATTCAATACTCTGATTTTGCTGTCTGTCTATATGTGATGCTCAAGATGAATATTACTGGTATCAGTGGGTCACAAATTATGCTGGGTAATTCCAGAGCATGGCTTAATAATTCTGCTCCATTGAAATACAAAATGTGTTTCACTCAGGAAGTAGAAGGAAAAGCATACTTTCCTTATTGTAACCCACAAGGCTCAGTGAATAGCTTAGGATGGCTTAGTCCAGTGTTTCTCAACCTTGACAATTTTAAGGCATGTGGACTTCAACTCCCAGAATTCCACAGCCAGCAATGCTGGCTGTGGAATTCTGGGAATTGAAGTCCACATGCCTTAAAATTGTCAAGGTTGAGAAACACTGGCTTAGTCAAATATCCCTTTCATGAATCTCCTTCATGCTCCCCTTCATGGCCCCCTTCATGAACCACCTTCTGCTGCTGAAGATGTTTGCACATGCCAATCACTCTGTAAGCTACATTGTTGAGAATAAGCATTCCCAGAAGATTACTCATGTTGGATGTGCATACATAATGAGTTAGATTAAGCATGATCCACTAAAAAAGACAACCCAGTCTAGTATTTTGCTAATGGATATTCAGAATTAGGACAATGTCTACATGACACAGGAAGATGAAGCCAGTCCCCAATTTGGAAATTATTCAATTAGTCACTCAGAAAGAGCAGAGGGCCAGTGGGATTATGAAGTGCCTGGGTTAAAGCTCAAAGGTGTCTAACTGGTGATGTTGCCATATGTAAAGTAAACAGGTTTGATGCTGCAAAAATGTATATGCCACTGGTACGTGTTTTATGTTTTAGAAACATAAAACAAGACAAACTTGATGTCATAGCATGAATGTCAAGACTTGAAAATTAAGATCCTAGGAATCAAAAACTGAAATGGACTAGAATGTCTCATGTCATATGAAAGGCACACCAACTCTTCTACAGTGGACAAGAAAATCACGGAAGAAATTAAGCAGCCATAATTATTTACACACGCATACTAAAGCTGGGAGGAATAGCCAACACTTTAGAACAGGGGTCCCCAACCTATGGGCCTATTGGCCACCATGCAGTGGGAATGGCTGGCAGTGGAAATGTGCAGGCATGGGAGTGCTATCACTGCCACCAGCATCATGCAGGTGCTAGCAGCCTGTTTGCGCATATGTGCTGGTGCCAGCGGCCCATTTGCACATGCGCATGGGAACCAACATACCACCAGCACCCCACAGATGCACACGGGCTGCTTGTGCATGCTCATGGACTGTTTGTGCATGTGTGCATGCGCTAGTGCTGCTGCTGTGCATGCACCCATTTGCTCATGCGCTCACTGGGCCGCATGCACACATTTCCCTGATCCTCTCTTTCCTTCTGGGCCACCAAGCCATAAAGATTGGGGAGATCTGCTTTAGATACTGAATAATCTTTAGAAAAGTAAGGGCTTAGACATGGACAAGAAAAACCAAATGTGCAGGTATAGAATAGGTGGCAAATGGCTCAACAGATCTAGCTGTCATAGTGAACAATCACTTAAATATGAGCCAGCAGTCCACCAATGCAGTCCCAGGCTACATCAACAGAGGAATAAGGATATAAAGATCACATGAAGTGATAGTACAAGCTTTATACTGCATTGGTAAGACCACATTTGGAATACTGCATTAAGTTCTGGTCACCATAGTACAAGAAAGTGTTGAGGCTTTAGAACAGGGGTATCAAATTCAATTTCATTGACGGCTGCATCAGCATTGCGGTTGCCCTCAGGGGGCGGGTGTGTGTGGCCAGGGTGGGTGTGGCCTACTGGGTGGGCGTGGCCAGCTCTACATCATTCGCGTCAAGGGTACCTGTGGGAGCCTGGGCAGGAGTGGGAATATCTGAGGGTCTCTGGCAGAAGAGGATGGCACCAGAGCAAGTGCCAAGGCATGGTCCACTGGAGGAGCCTCACTGTTCCTCTCAGGCCATGCGGGGGGGGGGGCTTATGGAGCTAAGACTGAATGTGTTTCAGCATAGATAGCCACCACAAAATTGTACATTGGCTCCCAGCCAGCCAGGGCCAGGGCCAAGGCAGAGGGGGCTGTTCCCTTACTGTTTCCAGGATGGCTTCGCGGGCCACATGAAACCACTCTGTGAGCCGAATCCGGCCCCCAGGCCTTGTGTTTGATATTTCTGCTTTAGAAAGAATGCAGAGAAGAGACTGGAGGCCAAACCTTATAATTAACTAGGTATGTCTAGAAGAACTAGGGGTGGCATGATAGCAGTCTTCCAATATTTGAGAAGCTGCCATAGGGAAGAGAAGTCAACCTATTTTCCAAAGCACCTGAGGACAGGACAAGAAGTAACGAATGGAAGATTATCAAAGAGAGATCCAACCTAGAATTAAGGAGAAATTTCCTGACAGAACAATTAATCAATAGAACAGCTTACCTACAAAAGTTATTGGAGCCTCATCACTGCAGATTTTTAAGAAGAAATCAGTCTAGAATGATATAGGATCTCCTGTTCATCTGAGTGTGACATGTTTGGATTAGAAAACCTCCAAGATCCCTTCCAACTCTGTTATTCTGTATTCTGTGTTCTATTCTGTATAATTATTTACACAAGAGTGCTAAAGTCAATACACAGATGCAGTGAAGCTGTTACTAAACAATTATTTGCCCAGTTGTGATAACTTGTCAATACAAGATCCACCTACATCCCAAATAAAGATATCATACTCAATATATGTGACTGGAATGCTAAATATAAAAATTAATTAATAAATAAATGAGCATTTGGAATAATTGGAAATTTTGTTATTGGTATATGAAACAAAACAGCTGACAGACTAATAGAGTCTACTGAATTTGTCTACTGATAAGTTAATAATAGCTACAGAAAGATGAAAAGCAGAAGCAATAAAAAAAAATTCAAAATACATTCCAAATTCCAGAAAAAAATAGATACATCTCAATATGCAATGCAAAGAAATTGAGAGCAACTATCAAAAGACAAATATAAGAGATCTATTTAAAAATTATAGAAATCAAAGGAAAGGTTATACAAAGATGGTCATCAAAAAAAAAAAAAGACCCAGCAAGCAAATATCTGATTAAGAAAGAAGATCCAAAGGATAGATGGATAATTATGTAGAAAAACTGTATCTCAGAGACCCCAAAATCAAATTTCCGGGCAAGGAAAGTGGCAATTTAGATGTCTCTGAATTGGCAGAGACAATGATATGGCTATGACGAATGGATCGTCAGCAACTTTCTTCAACAGACAGACTCTCTATGGACAATAAGAAGATGAGAGATCACCCAGTTGTATTCCAGGTGGCTGCTCCTTATGAGGAGACTGCAAAACAGTAATTCTCCTACAGGTCAGATACAACAGACAAGGGAAGCCATCAAGTTCTCAACCACAATGGAGCCATTAAGAACACTAAGTTCATATAATCTCACTTTCTAGTTACTTCTGATTTATTATTTCCAAACAACGTCTAAAAATGTACCTGCTAAGTAAAACATCATTCTAAAATAGAACTAAAAAATAATTTACAGTTTAATAAATTTAAGAACATGAAATAAATGACAAAAAACTAAATAAAAATGTTAACTAATTTAAATTTAAACATTTTAAATGGATTAAGGAATCAGATAATTTGTAATTTTAGGACTTTTGCTAAGAGATTTTAAAAATTAATAAATAGAACTAAACAACAATATTATGGGAATATGAATAGTTTATGAGAAAATAAAATATTGATGGAAAGTCAAAAATAAATTTGAGATTTTGTGAATACAGGA